ATATACACATATATATACATATATATATATAATATATATATTATTATGTATATTATATATATATATATATATATATATCAATGTATTTTTCTGAAACTGATCACGTACTCATTCATTCACAGCACGTTGATCATTTCTAACCGTTGTTAACCAGCCCTTGTATATACTAATTTTGAGGGGAACTGCATGGTTTGTTACCAAAATTGGTTTTCCAATTCAATGAGCTTTGTCTGTATCTTCTGCAAAACGAGATGCGCTATGTAGTCCCCAATTTTGTCCAGTTTTTAACATGACGGGCGCTCTATTGGCTATCGCCCGAATTTCTCGTCATACCAGGAGTTCCCTTTGTTTTCTGCCCGCTGCTACATATAAAGATATATGTGGCTCATTTGAATATCTTACTATGTTTGCTGCACGTCAGGAGTTCGAGTGGATTCGCATGTTCTGGTTGCAAGGGGAGAGCCATGCGCAGTCTCATGAGCGGTACTGGCTGGGATGCATTCAGACCCTCACACATCTGTGGGAGCTCAGTGAGGCTATGCTGTCACACATTGTGACAGTACTGGGTATGTGCCCGGACGTTCATTTATAGATTTGCCAAGCGATAGTTTCTATCGCGTCTCCGCTTACCTACCAACAGGCAGTGTATTTGAATCACAGACACAGAATAGGCTGAAACTGCGCGTACGTAGACTCGAAGCTCTGCGGTTACGCATCCCAACGGGTGCATGTTTCGCACACTATCAGTCGCTATATCGCACCTCAATTAGGCTTCGTTTCCAGGTGTCAGCTCTCTCTCGTCCAGTATCTTCCACCAGAATATATTGTAACTTAATCGCTACCATGATGTACATTTGTCTGTATCAGAAAGTTGTATACCGTAGTCATGTAGTCTTGACTATCGCTCACTAGCATGCCCTATACTCGCATACCTACCATGATTCCTCCCTTACTTGCACTTGCGATCCCTATCCCCACATCTCATGCCGCATGTACCCTGCCCTGAGTATCAAATGCCGACGCCTTAGCTGAAGGAGCGCGAGGGGTGTCGGCAGGAATCTGTTTACATGCGATGTCGATGTGCATTCTAAGCAGGTTACAATCTCTCAAACCTAAACCTTAAACCCTACGAACTACTTTCACCCTTCAAACGTTCTATATTAGGTGCCGATGTGGCGTCAGAGGCTGGTGGGGCGCGTGTGTGTGTGAGCAAGGACGTACGCACGTATGCGATGACGATCTACATTCTCAGAGAGATCAGGTTTAGGCGACGTGAGTATGCCAAACGCTGCAAAAGCCAGGCGTATCACTTCCTGGAGGCGAGGAATAAACCAGGTTTGTACCATGCGCACACTGATTGTGGTCCGAATCAGTAGTATGTGATGATTATTTCGTTGTAGTAAGTTGCGGGCGTGCATGACATCGGGCTTGTAGTACACGTTGTCTGCCGTTGCTTCTGAGTAATGAATCGGATGTAATGTATGCTTCATGAGAGAGTTCATTCGCCTCAATCAGGCTATCGTCTTTTCGACCGATAAGTGCACATCTAGGACACCTTCGCATTGGGCCCAGAAAGTTCCAAAAGTTTCCCGTACCACTGCTTGAATTGATCATCCTTGGAAACGGTGGTCAGAATTCTAAATTAGCGTTTTGTTCATGATTGTCATCTACAGTTGAAAATAAGCTGAAATACAATATCCCGCTCGACCGTGCTGGTCTGGAGGCGTACAAGCACCTGGACCTACCCCAAGGAGTGAGTTTGTTTAGCCACACTCAAGCATGCAGAAAGGGGGCTCGCACATGCGCCTTTACACTGCCGAAGGATTTATCGCCGACGATTGAAGCTATAGAGGAGCAGAAGAAGGCGATTTTCGGCAAGGTTTAGTTTCGAAAAGTTATCGCGAACTTTATACCCATTGTACGATTATATCAATTAAAGGTAATATGTTTGTGCACCTTAGTATATTCATGCGTACATTAAGCTCGCAATCTGGCAGTATAACTTGTCAGTCGTGCGGTTCATATGGCCACGTATCTGCTGCTGAAACTGTCAAAGATATCAAATATTTCTTGCTTTGCTGTCGGCATCTCCGCCAAGGAACCTATTCTCTGAATAGTATCTGGGCATTTCTCAAAGGAGTTAGTCATTTCCAGCTGGTGGCTAAGTGATGTACAGAAGGTGACGGTAGAGCTACATCTATTTCGAGACATACAAAGCCAACTACATCCTGATAATAGTGAAGTACTAAGATTATACATATTACGCGATACCTAACAACGCAGATCATGCGGTATTTAACTCGAGGAGTGTAGTTGCTAGGCTACTTGTTGTCAATGCAAAGCTTACTCTGTCGAGTGCCTGAAGCCTGGAGCTTCTGTGTCTATGGCTTTCGAATACTACTGAGAGCCCTAGTGCGAGGTGGAAAGTTTGAACCTTTATCAGCAGCCCAGTGTGGGATTTGTTGAGAAATTTCAGCTTGGTTTCTACCAAGGTGTTCAATGTATTGTAGCATTTAATATACAACTCTGGACTCCCAGATTCTCCTATCCACATATATAACCGTGATATGATGCAGTTTTGTCGAGATTGTCGCCAACTGGCCCAAGTATGTCACCCATACCGTCAAGGCAAACAAGTCCAATAACCGCCGAGCTCGCCAGCCATTTCCCAGCGGATTTCAACCGGATTCTAGAAAATAGATCATATTCATGGCTCTAATTAATCCACAGTGCTTGCAAGGAACGGAAAGCTGCATACTCATATACGATCAGTAGCGCTGTGAGCTAGATCTGAAGCACCTCGTCGTATTGGTACAAAGTATTGGAATATGTACGTTTGTAAGAATTCAAAGCACCACTAGCCTCAATAGCGATTACTGACAGACCAATACACACCGGTGCGAACGGAATTTCATTCACCCTGAATACCACAATTAGTTACTTGATTTGGTTCGTACTATTCAAATCATTAGTGATTCGAAATATAAAAAAACCGTCGATTTAAAATAGAAAACATATGTGTATCTAGAGCCGGGCCCGCTAGAAGAGCAAGGTATGGTGTATCTGGGGTGTTAATAATTACAAGTGTGACTTGAAACTATTGTCTACACAACAAGACTAAGCTCGCGTACTTCCAGGTGCTAGTGTACACCTGTGCGATATTGCAAAGACAAATTACAAGGTAAGGGTTTATTCTATTAAGAACATAACGGACGTTGCTGGGAAGCGAAGGCAGGTGCGAAGTGCTACATGAGATGTTGTGCATTAGTCGCTGGTATCCTTTCGTGTGATAATAGAACATAAATAGCACCGCACTCGTTTCGAAAGATCAACTAGTAGATCACGCAGTATTATACAAAACGGTACGGTCCGTTTGAGACTAAGACCGTACCTATTTTAGATGTCTGAATAAAAGATGTGTTAGAAAGAAACCTTTTTGTAATCCTTCCTTGACATTGGTGACGATTGCGATTTTTTTCAACCTAAAAATACAAAGAGAACGGCAATTTCTATACTGGGTTGATTCACCATTTTATCAAGAGATCCCACCTACTGATGACAATTTGCATATAGAATGCGTGCACATAAATCAGCGCTTATAGCGAATCGTATAATAATACTCAAATTACTATATGTATGTCCAAGAGATTTTAGTATGTGGGTTATAATTAAATCACCAATCACACTTCCCGCACTGAACCCATTCGCATGCAATCATATTGTAATGCAATCATATTGTAATGCAATCATATACACTTTATTTCATAGTAAAGCACAGCGAATATTTTGAACTTTCACAAGTATCTGTCGTGCTCTGCCGATGTCCAGGAGCCTCTTTGGGAACAAGTATATGTCTACATCGGCGTATGCTATTACCCAGGTACATCTTTTGCGGACAGGCTATGACTGTAGCATTATATTGACTACCCAGATCGAAAACACACCATCACATGTTTAAAACACACACGCACGACTGCACATTGCAGTGCGTGTGCAGTGTGCACATACAGTTACACACAGTTACACAGAAGGATTATTTGCAGAAGAAACCGATTTGCCACAGATTCGGAAACTCTGCTTGTTCCCACCAAATGATTGGTTCCCGATGGCAACCAATGACTGAAGCACAGAAGCTATCTATCAGCTGTTCGGTACTATCTTCTGCGTTGGCGGTCTTTCCCATACAACACATATTCACAATCTCGTCCCTCTCTCTAGTAACAAGGCGTGGGAACGTATGTCGTGTGTACGAATGGGTAAAGCTATACTATACCAGTGATACAGACTTCTGCAACGACCACCGGGGTGTATGTAACACACGTTAAAAGGCACAACCAGCAACTGATAAGGCATATATTTAGCATAATCATTCAATCCGTACACATATGTAGCAACCACCACGACAGTTTGGAATACTACACTATACTTTCCTGCTGTGGCCGGTACTAGTCGTCAGCGGAGCACTTAGGTTGTCATCCAAGAGTGTCCTTTTTTAAGCCAGATAAGACCAGTATCCAACTCTCTGGGCTAGATGACAGCTGGTTACACCACATTAGCTATGAGTTAACATAAGAATAACACCTGATCGGCGACACGCCAGAATTCCCTATTCAACAGCATAGTGGAGGTCACGATGGGTATTCCGCGTGTTGGTAGCTCCTTCCCACCAGGTATTTTAGAATGATGTGTATTAATTAACGTAATTTTAAAACCATACGATATACAGTGTCGGATTCAGATTTGGGGTTCTAATCCGCCTTGCTATGCGAACCTATATGTGAAGCATTTCAAACACGATACTGCAAAAGTCGTGCATGTCATCGGGCGCACACTTTGTCATTAATTGCTCTGAGCAGCATATTCGGTCGGTGCTTGCATATGTTATAGTTAAATGTTGTTGTCACAAGTATGACACGCTGATCGCCTACCGCTTTATTCTTATGGCTCGCAATGTGATGCTACTATCCGACCAAGACATGCTGCAAGTATGCATA